AAATGAATTCAGTAGACTACCACTGAAAAACAGAAACAAATTCGGTGGACTACGACTAAAAAATTGAAATAGATTCAGTAGACTACCACTGAAAAATGGAAACACATTTGGTGGACAGCCACTAAAAAACGAAAACAAATTCGGTGAACTACCACTGAAACAAGGTAACGATTTTGGTGGGATTTACACAGGTAAGTTAAGAAATGAGGTTCATGAGGGCAATTTAGAAAGAAAAATGGGGTGTAGTAAGTAATTTTAAATTTTACTAAAATTCAATGAGGTGTAAAGAAAATGTGAGGTGCAAAGTGCAAATTTTGAGGTGCTAATAAAATCACCCTTTTTTAAAATCATAATTGAATACAACCCTTAACTTTTCTCAAATGCCACTTCACCCGAAACTTTTTGGCAAGGTTTTTTTTTTTTCTTTCGATTTTTGATAAGTGACAAACATTTTTCATGATAATTTTGTTTGTTTGTTTATTTATTTATTTATTTTGGCTTTCACATAGTTGGACAGGCCAAATTGACCAGAAGCTTTGTGGGTCGTGACCGGCCTTTTGACCTCAATTGTCTGCATCGTCCAAACGCGCAGTTTACCATTTTGCAGGCCTCCAATACAATTTCTCCAACCTAGTCCAATGGCTGACAAGCTTTCTAGTTTCTAACCTGCTAAGAGAATAATATGACTGGTCTCATCGATTGAATTGTCCCTGAAGCTTTCTTCTCAACCTCAATTTCTGTCTGCAGGTGCGATTTCAATTTACAACTTCATCTCTCTCTCTTCTCTGCTATCAGTTTGTTTCAATTATCATGGAGATTCTTTGCCTTTGCGAATTCTCTACCTTTTTGTATTTTGTTCACAAATTTTCACTCTTTCGCTCTTCCTTTGTGTGTCTCTGTGTTTATGTTCAGTGGATTTTCACCATGTATCATGCCAAGAAGTTTTCAACAGCGAGCTTAGTTCCTCACAAACCCCAGAGCTCTGAGGAGCTTGCAAACGTTGGGGTTGTCAGTGGTGGCTCTTCAGTGAAAAGCCCAACGCCTTCTGGGGGAAGTGGCAAGCAACGCCTGCGGTGGACTTCGGATCTCCATGACCGCTTCGTCGACGCCATTACGCAACTCGGTGGACCAGATAGTGGGTATTTTTTTTTCAGTAACGTAATTCTATTTGGTACTTTCTTTTTTAGTTCTATTTTTTCATTGTAATTAATCCATCTCTGTTGTGTTTTTTCCCTTTAGCAGACGGGTTCTTTGTCTTTCCCTGTTTTGGGGTCAGTTGTAGTTTTCCCGAGTATTTAGCTCTGTTAAGAATGTGATAAATGTATGTTTGTTTGCTCACAGTATCGGGTAATAGAATTACGAGAAAGCAATTTTCACATGTTTGAAATAGTTTAGTGGCCTTCCTATATTATCCCTGCCTTACAGTATCAAGAATTATAATTTTTTTCACTTTTTTTTTTGTTTGGTAAACTAACTTTTACTTCATTAGTTATGTTGTGTGGTGATCCTCTTAATTCTGAACCAAATAATTTAGAGGGATTTTATTTCATAATTACTTGATTAGTGGCTTCATTTATGGTCGTTTCAATGAAGATGCTTGGGGAAATAAAGGCAGGATTTTATTGTATTTCCTATGTTTCCAAAACTATTGTTCTTTGATTACGGATGACTTTTCTGTTGTAGAGAAACTCGTCTTCTAACTGAACTCTAGAATTGCTTCTCTCTCTCCCTCCCCCTTTCTTTTTCTGATGTTTATGAGTGGGGACCTATGTGGTTGAGATGGCTTTGGTTTGTTTTTATAACAGAATTTTTTTATTTCATATTTTTTATTATTTTTATTTTTCCATTTCTGCCGTTAAGGTATCAGTGCTGATTTGAATAGTTGAAGTCTAGTTAAAAGTCTTTTGGGTAAGGGTAGTTAAGGGAGATTCATTTAATCAGTTAGAGTCCAGTTAAAAGTCATAAAGAAATTTGTTTCTTTCTTTCTGTATGTTTTTATTTGTTCTCTCTTTTGCTCCTTTCTTATTTTGAATACAAATTGTTTCTATTAAAAAAAAAAGAAAAAAAGAAGAAAAAGAAATTGGTTCCGGGAGGAGGGGGTTCATGATTGGGAATTTGTTGTTTAGGAACATGCCTCTTATGTGTAGATAGTTGTGGCGAGTCCTTTTGAGAAGGATTCATTGTCATGTTCTATTATTCAAGGTAAGTGTGAAGTCATTTCTAGTGGTTAGGGCTCCAAGAAAGTGGATTGCCTTGGAAATTCTTCTCTCATAGCTATCCTTCTTTGTCTCAGAGGTCTAAAATGTGGCATGCTATCCTCGAATGAATATCTAACATGTCTATATATGGCCATGTGAATATATCTTTGTTGTTCTTTAGAAACTCCATCAGCTGCCTATTTTCTTCTTCTGATAGCCGCACATCTGCGCTTTCTGGCTTAAATGGATACAGATTCTTTTCCACTAGTGGGTCAAAAGTGGGGATTTTGATTAGGCTCGTGCCTGAAACATTTAGGTGGGTCCCCTTCTAGTTGTTTTGAAGGTTCACGTTGATTTTCCGGCTGTTTGGTACTGGCTGGTCACAATACTGTGGCATTGTGCATCTCCATTTTTCGGTTACATGGATGCAAAAGCTAAAACAACTAAGTAACTATTATTTGAGGCCGAGACCGGCCAGCCTTATCACCCTGTAAAATTGACGGAACATTACTAGGAGGCTCAAACCAAAGTTAAAAGCCAACTCAACTTTCAAGGTCCAGCTTAGCCATAGTGTCGATGTACATGGGTCTCCGTTGATGTCAATGGTTACTTGTCCGTCCCTGTAAAACTACTCATGATGACCTGGTGCAAGGTTGAAGGAATTCCTTCCATTTGATGTACCCTTTACTTTCCTATTCAAGTTATATGCAGACAGGGCTTCTTCCAGTTTGAGCTCTGCTAAAAGTTATAAGGTGAAAGAGAGTCTACCAGTGTGAAGTCCACTAATGCCTTATCAACGCAAATAACCAGTAGAGTGACTCATCCATGGGATTCACTTCCTTCTTGCCAAAGCTGATCAATTTGCTTGGCTTGATTTAATATTCTATACCTTTAACTCTTTATTTCCACAGCTGTCCCAAAAAATTTATATGTGCAAGTGTGACTACCAATGGCTCATGGTTTAAGAGGTGGATGCATTCTATATCCTTATGTCTGAATTATGTTTGCTTTTCTCATTGCCATAACTACTGTGCAGGGGTATAGATCTTACAAATTCTTTTCATGATTTCTTGTTGTCTTTCTTGTCTTGTTCTTCTCTGAGCTTTCATTTCGTCATCTGGGCCAGGATTCTTCTAAATGACAGTTATAATCTGGGAAAAAGATTGGACTGTTGATAGAACATTCTGTTTAGGTAACTTCGGTCGTTTCGTCAATTGTGCACGATTGGCCGTGTGGGGAGGGAGCATCACCTTGTTTGATCATGGTCTCCACTTTCCTTCTCAAGTTCCTGCACTTGTTAGTTGTTTGATGGATGTTAAGGAACAATGCTTACTTGTATCTTGCCGCTCTTGTGGCTTCCTCATAGGTGGTGATACTCAAAATAATATCCAAATTGTGTTCACATGTACAATTTTGCCAAGCACATGGTCTGACGGATCTCAGTATAGGTTTGTTTTGGCTACTTGATCTTTCTGCTTTGTCTTTTGGTTTGCGCATGAGGATTGTGAAACCACTTCCCTGTTGATCTTACTCATTGCTTGGCTCTTCCCTCCTTAAGTCTTGTACAGCCGTCGGTTCTTGTGGTGACTTTGACCATGCCCTTGGGGGTCTCTTGAGTAGTGACTCCTGCACACTTTGTCCTGGCCTAAGTGCTGATCCAACCCATGTCTAGTGTACAGCTATCACATTTTCCTACCTAGGACATTCAAAGACAAATCAGCTCAGGAAATCCATCAGTTTCGTCTTCCCATTTCATGTTGGAGTTAGATGCTTTCTCCATTTGCTTCTTGTTACGTATGTACTTGGAGATGAATGCCTCCTAGAGTTTGGTAAAATTTGGGATGGACCTCAATGGAAGATGTCTAAATTAAATTTAGTGTTGGTCCAAATAGATTTGAGAACACATTGCACATCAATGCATCCTCATCAGCTTCAGGCACCATTTCTAGTGAAAAGGGTAAGCATGCTCCGACGGATTTGTCTTACTTTGAATATTCAGAACTTAGAAGAAACACAAACATCTAAATTTTTTGGGCTTGCAAAACTCCTTGAGGCAATTCATCTTCTACTCCATTTGTATAAGCTTGATCTTCCATTTAGTCTTCTTTCAGCTTATTGTTGCTTTGAGACCTTGCTCTGAGCCCACAGAAAATTGTGAATTTGTCTAGGTCCAATCATGTTGTCATGGATTTTGATTATTCAAAATGTTTGGTTCCAGCATTCAGGTTTCCAAGTCATTCTTGAAGAACTGCTCAATTTTTTTTATTTTTTTTTTGTGCTTCTGGGCGAGAATGGAGGTATAGAAGACATTTATGAACTTTTCACATTGCTTTCTTAAAGGACAGTCACTGTTGCATTCAGTTAGTTTATTTAGAGAAGTTCTGATTTTTGGTACTTCAAATCTTTTTCTCAGACTAGAGTGTAGTGTTTGGTGTTTTCTTGTAGCCCGAGTTCGGATTCCATATCCACGATTTGTAATGTCTTTTGAGTTAATAAATCTATGTTTCTCTGCGTGCTTTTAGTTTTGTGAAATTATTCTGAGTGTTTGGTCTCATTCTTAATTCTGGTTATTAAGGATTGATTTAAGCATTGATTTGTGGTTAGATTTTTCTAATGAACTGTGAGGTAGCTAATGGTGTATTCACGGGACAAAATGTAGTGTCGGATTAAACCGTCCCAGTCCTTCATTAGAGGTGTGCAGTCTTTGGGACAAATCAGTCCCACAGCACGGGACTGGATGTTATTTTTTCCAGATCCAGTCCCACCCAAACTAGTGTTTATGATCATATCCATTACCTAATTAATATATTTCATTCTTTCCAATTTGCTTTAGGGGCAACACCTAAAGGTGTTCTGAGAGTGATGGGTGTTCCGGGACTAACTATTTATCATGTGAAAAGCCATTTACAGGTACGGCCACCTTGCTACACTATATGACCTACGCAGGAACATAAATGTTAGACATTTTTATGTTTTAGTTTTTAATAGCGTTATTATTCTTTTTTATAGAAGTATCGCCTTGCGAAGTACCTGCCAGAGTCTCCGGCTGATGGTAATGGTCGTCTCCCTCCATCTATATGTGTTATTTCAGCAATAGCAGACTTGTTTTTACAGTATGAAAATATGAATATGAATTTGGAGAAGCACTTTGACTTATAGGTTCTAAAGACGAGAAGAAGGGTTCTGGAGACAGCCTTTCTTGCTCAGATTCTTCTCCGTGGGTACCTTTTCCCTTCCCTTATATGATTATATGCACACTTTTTGTCTCGTCTTAAGCTTTCATGACCAGTATCATCATATCTCTTTACTTGCATAGTCCTGTGTCTTATTATTATATTAATGATCTGCATCTAATTAAAATCTTTAAATTCTTCAGTGGAGTCCAAATTAATGAGGCATTGAGGATGCAGATGGAAGTTCAGAAGCGTCTTCATGAACAGCTTGAGGTAAGGTCTCTTGCCCTCACTTTGCCTTAAATTGCTGAAAGAGGAATATAGTCTGGCCTGAAAAATCTTCTGCACAGGGGCACTAGGATTTGAGATATATTGAAAGAAAAGCACATAGAAAGAAATTTGTTTTCTGATGGACCAGAAAAAAATTAATTCAAAAACTGAAAGGCAAACTTTAAATTTCTGCTAATAGTGATGTTGAAATTGCTGCCATGGCCTGGGTGGTAATATGGCAACACTGGAGGCTAGCAACTGGTTAAGTAGTAATGGTTTGTAGGAGTGTTTTGGGAATATTTGTTGGTGGGTTGAGTACTAGTTGTTTTTTCTTAAAAGATATTTTGTAGGGATGGGAAAGTTGGTGGGTGGATAATTGCAAAAGTCCATGTTTTCTTCTGTTTTTCAGTTTTTGTTCACAGAACACATTATTGTGTTGCTTGTTCATTTCGAGTGTAGTGCATGATTCTGGAACTGTTTCCTGGACCCTATCCTCTTAGTATAGAACGCAGGTGCATTTAATATGGTGAAAGCTTGTGTCTGTTCTTGTGTGTGCACTTTATTGTTATTGTTATTTGTCACTTTCTTCTGGTCTTTGCCTGTGCATTTTGATTGGCTATACTTGTGTTGGCTATATTAAGAGTTTACTAATAATTTTTTCAGGTTCAAAGGCAGTTGCAGATGAGAATAGAAGCTCAGGGTAAATACTTGCAGAAGATCATTGAGGAGCAGGAGAAACTTGGTGGGGTTCTCAAAGGATCTGATGTATTGCCATCAGCGGAGGATAAGCAGAAGTCATCTCAGTTGGAGACAGCGGGTGATGCAACCGCCACGCCCTCATCTCCGCGAAAGAAACAAAAGGTAGATGATGGGTTGCCAGATGGTTGCACCACATCTAACGTGCCTCCAAAAGCTGACCAAAAGAATGAATTTGTCGGTCAGTGGGATCGAGACTTGTATGGAAGTGATGGTGGATTTGGATTCAACTTGCAAACAGAGTTTAAAGAGAGAGATGGCGATGCTGCACAGAAAGCGCCAATGGAGTTAGATCCCTTGTGTGGTTCAAAACAATAGGAGTCCGAATTGTCGGTAGTATTTCAAGAAGCTTGTGCGAGTAATTAGAAACCATGTTATGCATACCACGTAAATAGACATGCAATCCATTTGTAATTATACAATGTATGATTTTCCCCCTTTTTAGTGTATAAGTAGAGCATGTAATTTCCAACTCCCCATGAATGCTATGAGATGGATTTTGCATGTACTTACATCTTAAATCTATTTATTTCGCCTTTTTTTTTTTGGGTGATAAATTTATTTTGCTTGTTAGTTTTAAGTTTTCAATGCTTCAATGCTTAATATTGGATCAACCTCGTACAACGCCTGGCTGCTCATCAACGCTGTTTCCAACTGTCCTGCTTCATCAATGTCTCTTCATTCACGGGGTGCTTTAGAAATTAACTTTACAAAGAATTTATTTATATTTTTTTGATACTAAGTCCCAAGTCTCCCAACAATCGTAGTGAGTCTACTGAACTGACACCAACCTCAAAGATAGGGGTAGGACGTAGAGTGCTTGGTAATCCTCCAAAGAAACTCAACGACAAAGGACTGTTGGAACTTGGATTGGAATTGATACAAACCTTCTAGGATCCATTTTGTTCCGGGAGCATTTTTACTCACCATTTTAACCCAATGTAAACCCTCCTCACTACCCTCTTAAAAACTTGTGGAATGAGAAGATATGAACAAATTGCTGGGTGGAATTGGATTACTTCAATTTAATTGTGAAAGTTTTTGTATAGCATTAGCCTGTGTGTTCACTATGCCGCCTAGTTTTTTATATCATTAACTGGGTCTCTGATGGGTTAATTTTTCATTCAATATGTGCAAAGTTGAGACTCTTGTGTTAATTGAACAGTGTGGACTGCTTTCTAGCTTGTAATTGACTTGTTTTTTAGTTTCTGTTATGCTTCTTGTGCTAGGAAACCTTGTTAATTTGTTGTGTAACACTGGTTGCTTGTACTGCATTTTGTTTGAAGATTATTTCAGGAGTATGTCAGGAAGTTATTAGTCATTATTTGTTATTTTTGTAAGTATGATTTCATTTGCTGGGAATTAATGCCCAGCTAAGCCATCTATGTATAAACATGTTTACCATGCTTGACAATAACCCAAACGCTTGCTTGTGTAGATGATATGATTCAGCATCAATGTAAGATATGTTTGAAGCAGGATCACCCCGTCTGCATTTTGCCCGTACACCAATTATGTCCCAAAGGGTGCAAAAGTTGGCCCCGGCTGTATGATAGTTTGTGGATGTTGTGGTGAGGAGGGTGACCACCATGGCAATGATGACTGGGTAGGACGTGCTATTTCTCGTTGGTGTTTGATGCAGGAGCATCCACGAAGCTATCTAAGATTAGTTAGGGTTCTAGTTCCTTTAAATTAATCGTTACTTATTTTGTTTTCCTATTCTTAATTACTAGGTTTTGTTTTAATTTTCTATGTCAATTAGGTTTTCTATATTATAGGATAAATAGGAGACTCTTTGTAGGGAGTTTTTGTTGACGAATATAATTTCAGACTTGAATTTAGGGTTAAGTCTATGGAGTTTTTACTGGGATTTTGCCCTAGAACTCAATTATCTTTGTTCAAACTTGGATTCTACCGCTGCCCTGTATGAATCAGTGTTGGACTTGTGGTACTTGTTCTGAGCACAGCACTCAAGACAGCCCTGGAGAGAGTGTTAGATGTTGGTATTGTGGCCATAGGAACGAGCATGAGAGTGAAGATTGCCCGGTACTATCTTCACAACTCAACAGGTCCTAGTAATGTGGACAAATCTGCTATGTTTGTTTCTTTTTGTCTTTTATTCTGTGTTTTTGGGGCTAAGGACTCACAGGTTCCTGACATTCATGTTTATGGTGTCATAATCGGATTACCATGCTTGACAATAAGCCATACGCTTGCTTGTGTAGGCGATATGATTCAGCATCAATGTAGGAGGTGTTTGAAGCAGGATCCTGCGGCTGCATTTTGCCCGTACAAGAATTATGTCCCAAAGGGCGCAAAAGTTGGCCCCGGCTATATGATTGTTTGTAAATGTTGTCGTGAGGAGGGTGGCCATGACGATGAGAACTGGGTAGGACTTGCTGTTCCTCGTAGGTGTTGGAATTGTCGTTCTTCTGGTGAGCACAGCACTAAAGACTGCCCCAAAGAGCGTGCTTCCGTGGGAACGGGAACACAAGCACAAGAGTGAAGACTGCCCCAAGAAAGAAGCCGCGTGATTGCCGACTTTATGCGGACAGGCCTACGGCATTTACATATATAACTAGTGGAATTGAGCAGTGCTCGATTACTAATATTAATTAGTTGCAGTCCCGATCTCTTGGACTACAGGGGTCCAAGAGATTTGTGGTCACTCACCGTTATGTAAATTCAACGGTTCACTCACTCTTGCACTCATTTTAAGAAACTTTTTTGAACCATTGGATTAATATCCAACGGTGGGTGATCACAATCTCTTGGACTCCAATGGTCCAAGAGATCAGGACTGTAATTAGTTGAACTGAGTCCCTGCTCGAATATATGAATATTCGATGAATTAGCAGCTTTGTTCGTGCTATTGTTTATGCAGGTGTTTTAGTTTGGTTGACAGCTTTTTCTAAAGTCTATTTAAATAAAATCTGTTTACACTATCCTAGTGCCTTCTGAATGTCTGAAATGAAATCAAAAGGTGGTTGTCAAACACAATGAGGACCAATATACGGTGGTTTTTGTTGTTGTTTACTTAATGGTATTTACTTAATTGTTGTTTTGATATATGAATTGAGTTCTGAAGGGCATGAAGAAAAAAGGGACAATTTCATTTTTCCATAAAAGTAATTTTTTAAAATGATTTAACTGAAAATTTGATGAAATGTTGGGAATTTAGACGGTAGGGGGGAAATTGGAGAAGAAAAAAAATTCATATCCTTAATTTTCTAAAAAAACAGGATAGGGGGTTAATTGAAAATTAGGTATAAGTTTAGGGGCAAATCACTAGTATACCCACATAATTATTGACTAATTCCTTGTGATCTGGTATTTATTATTTTAGTATGTGGTTGTGAAAGTAGCTTGGATATTGAATGTTGGTGTTGACATCGGACAAACTACTTTAAATAGTGGTTGCAATATTATGTGATTGACAGACAGCATAGCAGTTTTCATCTTTCAACAAAAACAATAAATTTCAAAAAAACAAACCAAAATTTTAATTTGACCTTTATTGTCATTATGGTGGTTTTGTTGCTAGCTAGGTCACATATGCATATGACTCTGTTCTTTAAATAAATTTTATTGATCCTATACGTAATAAGTTTTCAACTATAATTTTTATACTACTTTTTGCAATTTGATCTTTTTTATTTTATTTTTGTCATTCGACAGGGAGGGAAATGGAGGAGTATTATATTGGGTTGCTTCACGATTGTCTTTTACGTGAATCGAACTCGGGTGCACTCTGAGCCGGTCTTGAGATTTTGAGGGTCCTGTGTGAACCTTAAACTAGGGCCTCACATAAGCTAATACAAACTTACAGCATTACGTAATGCCATACAATAAATGTTTTTTTTTTCTCAAAGTGACCAAAGTACCCCTACTCCCAAGGGCAAAATTGAAATTTCACAAAAGAATTAAATTGGATTAAATCAATTAAATTGAGTCAGGGATATTACACCTTTTGAATAATCACCATGATTGTGACTATGAGTCTTTGTCGTAATAGATCATATTCAGATATTGAATATTTTTTAACACCTAATTTATTTTGTATCAATATTCCAAGAACATCATTAATTGGATGCAATTTTTTTGCTTGAGTTAGTTGGATGCATTATTTTTGCAAATTTGAATATCTGAGAATATATAAAAACTTGGACTTAGAAAAGTTTTTAATGGTACTATTGGTATGCTTTGCTGTAAAAGCCGGTATTTATGGCACTGCTGCCAACAAGAATGCAGTACTCCCGCAGTGAAAGAAATTCTCTATAGAATTGAAATGCACCGAATTGTAGTTTGACCCAATAGTGAGTAGCCTTTCTTCTTTCTTCTCGGTCCCCTTTGGCTTACTAACCACATTTTTAATCGAGGTGAACCCTATATATGGAAGTCTTATCTCTAAGGGCACTAGAAATTTTGCGAGCCCTGTGCAAACCTTAAACTGAGGCCTCACATAAGCTAACACAAACTTACACTATTATGTAATGCCATACAATAAATGTTTTTTTTTTCTTCTGGGAAATGCTTGTGGTCGAAGAGCCTTACAAAGCAGCTGTTCAGAACACTTCCAGGAAACTAATAACTTGGCCGGATGAGATTTGGATGTAGCTTTGCTAATTTTAAGTGGTTTAATATATTCTCCAGTCAAATAGTTTACTTGGATGTAGCTTTCCACATCAGTATTTATGCCCAATATTATAACAGTATTGGTGATTGCCTTTATATTCCTTTACCAAGTTATGTATTGATTCCCGCCCTTGCATTCCTATTACAAGCCATGAATGCATTACAACATTAGGATTTCTGTTAATCAAAACCATGAAGCATAATTCTTGAAACCATTAGTGATCTTTTCGGTGACATGCATGACAGTTTTTCTTGTATGAAATTAACAAGATTATCAGCCTTTCTTCTACCCGAAGCTTGCTGCACTTTCTCCCTATTTCCAATTATGGAGACTGTATATTCACAATTTTAAGGGACGGAGAGACCCTTTTCAGGTTTTCTAGCTATTCATACTCTATCTGTTTCCGTTATATACAAATCAAGAGATCGTTTTGTGCTACAGCTCTGTGATATGAAAAAAATTATTACAGAGGCTTTGGGGAAAGGAAAGCTAGCTTAAAGGTAAGATTTTGGGACAGGGACGGGAAGAAGGGAAATAAAGAAGGACAGGACGTTAACTTTGCTATTAGTTGGGTCAGGGCATTTTTTCTCTTTTTTAATTATGAGTAAATTGAATTTTTTTTTACTTTTAAAGATGATGTGTCAACTTTTTAGTCCCATAGATAAATTTTAATGAGGTGGCGTTTCGAGGACAAAAGTCAAGCATATCCTAATCAAGGTCTTAAATATCGGAGGTATCGGAAATATCGCAGGAAATATCGGGATATTATCGGTATCGGAAAAAATTGAATAAAAACCACGGAAATTGTAAGAAAAACTTGGAAATTTTTATTGAAA